ATGATTAATTAGCATGTTAAAGAGAGGGCCCTGCTATAGGCTGGCAGTAAGTTCATGCTGTACCCCACCTTTCAAATTATGTTAAGGGTGAAGGGCTCCACCACCCTGTGACTCTGAGGCATTGAGCTTCTTCTTAAACACACTTTTATGAGAAGACTTTAAGTGCAGGCTAAAAACGTATTAGTTTCTGTTGAGACTAAAGATTGGGGGGACAGAGTATTTCAGTCTGTGGCAAGGTTATTATAGCTCACTAAAACTAAACTAAAAATTAAAACTAGATGTGAAAAAGAAATTCAGTAAAATAAAAAAATTGAAATATATCATATTTTTAAAAACTAAACTTTCAAAAAGTTCAAACATACTGAAATTAATCTGTGAACTTTATGAACATTTTTTAAAGAGTAAATATAGTATTAATGTTTGTTATTTGGGGGGAATTTTTTATTTTTTTTTTATCAAAACTTGCCAGATGAGGCTTTGATGGAAACATTTATTGAGTCTGTGGATGTCTACAAGACTGTGAGCATTGCACGATCCAATAATAATGAATAGCAACTAAAAATAAGACTGAAACTAATAGAAACTAAACATTTTCAAAAAAGTAAAGACTAAACTGAAATGAGCAAATTCACTTGGGTAACTGCAACTAGACTGAATTAAAAGCCAAAAGTCAAAGCAAAATAAAAATAAACACTAATTACATCATTACAAATCTTGAATAACTCTGGTCTGTGGATAGTCTCCCACTCCAGCTATATTTAGCTGACTCTGTGGACTCCTTTAAAAAGCAGTTTAAGACTTTTCTTTTGTTATCACCATCTTTTATTATGTTTTTTAAAATTGATTGTTTCTATTAATTGTTTTTTAATTTCCTAGGATATTTTGTTGTGATTATTTCTAGTGTTATTTATTTATTTATATATTTATGTATTTTGTTACTTACTCACTTACTAATGATGAAGGGAAAGTTTTATTCTCTTTTAACCCACTAGGTGGTAACATGAGACAACATTAAAAGGCTAAGACGAATACAAGACTGAAATAAAAGATTTGAAATATGCAGGGAAAGAAAAAAAAAGTTTTTTTAATTTTCTTTATTTCTTTCTTTATTTTTTTTATTATCTTAATCATGTTACAAAGAGAGAATATCATTAAATGAACTATAAAAATTTCTTTTTTTATGCACATACTGAACCTATAAGCCGATGCAGTAACCCTTTCAGACCGAACGGTGGCGTTCATCATGTACAGATACAGTTTATTGAAGCCGTTAACGCAGAAGAAGAAAAACGTACACAACAGAGATGGCGTCACCCGGCGAGGCATCGGTGAATGAGACACACGTGGGTAAAAAGAAGAAGGTAAATATAGATAAATAATTTCTAGAAGCACATCGTCGCAGCCGTTTGAAGCTTTTGGTGACTGCAGCTGAGGAACGCAGTTTTATAACTAATAA